AAAAAAAAAAAACAAGCTCATACCTGTGCGTCGCCCATCAGTGAGGAAGGAGGAAGAAGTAAAACAAAAATTGGAGGGTGAAATGAATGTGTTGTGCAATTCGGCCGAAAGAATAAAAAAAAAAATGAAGAATGCGTACCTTTCCTGTGAGCTGCGCGATTATGGTGTGAGGTGGGGAAGAAGGTGAGTGTTTTAAATGGCTGATTTTAAGGGTACAAAAGTAACTTCCGCGACTTTAGGGTGAAAAACCGAAGGAAAAGCCGCACACGACGCGCGTGCTGTGCACTTCCGTCATCTTAGACGGTTTAGGGTGTTGCGCGCATGCAAAACCTTAATAAAAGGGGGTCCGACGCAATTTTTATATTAGAGGGGGAAAAGGCACAGATTTAGTATAATAGAGGGGGATTTGGCGCATTAAACCCTTTTTTTACTAATGTTAATTTAGTTACTTGAACCTTATTTAAAGCTTTAACCAAATAAATGCGCTAATAAACTTATTTAATGATGAGCTTATTTGATTAATTTTTTTGGACAAAAAGACTGATTTCAAAAAAGAAAAAAAATTGATTTTTGGAAAAGAGAAGATTCAAAATAAAGTCGATATCACAACATAACAATTATAAATTTTGCTATTTACCAAACACTTATTTAACAATTTGGTCATCACTCATAAGTTAATTGTCAAATAAGACCAATATATGATCAACAATAAATGTTATGGTATTCTATACAATTTCGGGTAGAACAATTTTTTATTCTGTATTTACTACAATTGATATTAATACTTCGAAATTAATTCTTTTTTTTTAATTTTTGGAATCAATAGAAGGTATAACTAACAAACAAAATATATACAAAGTACGTGAACTAACTAGCTCAAATACACTTCCAAAAGGAAGAAGGGAGGAACACAACAAATAAGAAAGTGCCCTCAAAACAAAACAAACTAAGGAGAGTTGGAGACTACGGGGTTGGGAGGAAATTAAATTTTTATTAATATTGAGATTATTACATTGTCCCAAACAAACTGAAGCATACTAATATGATTTTTTAATAATGTTGGAATATAAAAATAAACTTACATAAGTACTTACTGTTGAAATTATTACACTTCTCTATCTCATATCTTTTATTTTAATTAAACTTATAAAAAGTATTATTTCATTTTGATATTTATTCTACATCTCATGAGTATGAATGAGTTTTGGATAAAGCTAATATTTTTAAACATTCACTTGGTATGGAAAATTTATTCTCAAAATCGCAGCTATTGCTGAACAAAAGTCCAGTTTTTTCTAAAGATAATAATCCACAATTGAATTATTGACTCAAATTGGATTTGGCAGATTCAGATAATAATTCACATAAAATTCCATTTAGGGCAAGTAATCCAATCCAATGGTCCAAAATATTGCATTGGAGCAGATTGGGTCAAACCCGACCCGTTTCTCAATCGCCCAAAAATGAAAAAACACGAACGCGCAGAGACGGACATACAAACGCATTCGCTCAGCAGCTGAAAACCATCGAGTTGACTCGTCAATGCGGGTTGTCGACTTTGACGATCAATTCTGAGGAAAATTATTTTCTGGTAAATAACGTCGTTGAGATCTCAAGGACATTGATGATTAATTCTACGTTTTTGCTATATATTTTTATTTTATTTTATTTTTTTTTGTAGACAATCAACCCTTCTAGGGTTTCTGGTTTGGGTTTACGCAGATTCTCTGTTTCATGTTTGATTTTATGATTTTCTTTGTTGATATTCCACTGTAAAATCTAGGTGCATTACTTCCTTCGTTCGTGTTCATTTTTTTTTTTGTTTTCTTTTTTTCCTTTTTCACTGTATACGATTTGCTATGGATTCGTTGTGTAATTGAATCTGTTTATTCGAGGGTCTGTATACTGAATTATTTGATGTCTCTTTCATGGGCTTGTTTCTGTTTATTGAGTTATGTTGAAATGTATATTGATCTTGATTGCAAGAGAAATGGTGTGTGCGGCGTTTGCAAAATATCGAAGCTTTTTTGCATGCTATTAGTGAATTGGGTAAATTTCTACTATGCTTGAAACAGTTACTGCTGATGCATGGTGCTAATTGGTATCACTGAATGTATTCCTTTTGTTTTGTTTGCTTTTTCCCTTTTTTCACTCCATATGATTTGCTATGGATTCTTTGTGTAATTAAACCTGGAGGGTTCGTATACTGAATTATCTGATGTCTATTTCCTGGGTTTGTTTCTGTTTATTGAGTTATGTTGAAATGTATATTGATCTTGATTGTAAGAGAACTATTGTTTGCAAAAAATCGAAGCTTTGTTACCTGCTATTAGTTTCATGGGTAAATTTCTACATGGGTATGCCTGAAAACAGTTATTGCTGGTGCATGCTGCTAAGTCTGTTGTCATTGGTGATGTCAGGATCCATTCATGGATAAATTTGTATTTATTTGAGAATATGGGCATAACTGACGATCCCATTAGGCTGAATTATTTGGGAGGATAATGAGAAGAAATATTCTTCAAAGTACACTTCTGCTGCTGCTATATGGAATATGGTATTTCAAATGAATTTCAATGATTTGTTTTAACTACACTTTGTGTTTGCTTTGCCTATTTTTGGGATTTTATAGGTGTTGGAAATGACTTTAGTATATAACAATACGCATCAATGGAATCACTGAATGACATGTACCATTGATCATATGCCCCTTGGTATCCTTTCCTTAATGTTTTGTTCGCAAAAGCACTAATATGACGCGATTATTATGCCTGTATATGTGTATGATGATATTTTATAGACACCAATAAGGATTGGATTGGTTAGCTGGAGAAATCCTTTGCTGAGTGTTGAAAGAATTCGTCTTAATAGTTTTGCAGAACTTCTTAATAAGTCGGGACTGAAATAAAATAAACTGCGAGAAGAGGCAGGTTTTGTTAAAAAGAGCATTTATGCTGTGCTAAAGTGAGACACCTATATGAAATTGCATTTCAAATATATGCCTCGTTGTGAAGAAAAATGATTCATGAGCTTGGGAAATAACTGGTTCTCTTGTTTCCTGTGCTCAGTACCTCCACTCTGTGCTGAAATGCTATAGGGCGGACAAATGGAGGCAGCCCCTATGATGGATAACAGTATAACACTACCAGAACTAGTGGATCAACACTTGAGTTAGCCCCCCGAAAAATACCAGTTCTGAGTCACCTTGGTATCAATGAAAAAACTGGCAACAGCCTTTATAGAAAGCCGCAAAATGGCCGAACAAAGTTTGAGATATCTTAGGAAAACGCCGAAGGCTTACGAAGTAAAAAAAGTGTCTTCAAGCCCTAAAGAACAGTATACACAATCCAAGAAACAACAGAGGAAAGGGGAAAACCCTATCCGGATTCTTCCTAGCCAAGAACAATATGTCGACTTGAAAACTACTAATTCATGGATCTGTAAGAATTCCGCCTGCCGGGCAACACTTTCGGCGGACGACACGTTCTGCAAGAGGTGCTCTTGCTGCATTTGCCATTTATTTGATGACAACAAGGACCCGAGCCTCTGGCTGGAGTGCACATCTGAATCTGGTACGGGAGACGCTTGTGGATTATCCTGTCATATTGAGTGTGCTCTGCAACGTGGTAAGGTTGGGGTAGTTGACCTGGGCCTCTTGATGCAGTTGGATGGAAGCTACTGTTGTGCTTCGTGTGGCAAAGTCTCAGGGATACTCGGGTTTTTACCTTAAACTTCTCATTTTTTTTTTTTTTTTTTTTTTGATTTCTTATTTTCATGAGCCTACCCCGACTTGCTTTGGACTAAAGGCTATGTTGTTGTTGTTGTTCTTATTTTCATGCTTATTTATTCAAACTATCTTGCTTGCCAGTTGTACAGAATGTAAACTGTTTAAAAAAGAAGTTTTACAAAGTTGGCATTCTTTTTATGTTCTTGTTCTTGGTGATACTCTGATTGTGCTACATACAACCCCTGTTTTATCTGGGTTGTAATGTTTGCTCAAATGGAGATAGAACCACCTGATGACATATATTGGATATAACCAGCTTGTTTTTATTGAATAACATACAAGATGATGGAGAAGTTACTTTTATATATCTTTAAAATGTGTGGCTGAGGCTTCTCCATCTGTACCGTTGCTACAGATGCTGGAAGAAGCAGTTGATTGTAGCTAAGGACGCCAGGCGTGTTGACGTGCTGTGTTATAGAATATTCTTGAGTTACAGGCTTCTGGATGGGACTTCCAGGTTTCACGAGCTTCACGAATTTATCAAAGAAGCAAAAGACAAGTTGGAAACTGAGGTGGGCCCTGTCGATGGGGTTTCAGCCAAGATGGCCCGAGGTATTGTCAGTAGACTCCCTGCAGCAGTCGATGCACAGAGGCTCTGCTCCCTCGCGGTTGAAAAAGCTGATGAATTGATTGCCTCAAAGTCGACCACTACATCTAGTTTAATAACTGGTAATCATGTTTTACATTAAACTCGTGTTAACTACAAGAATTTACTTCCAAGCCTCTCCTAATCATCAATAAATAAATTAAATAAATTTTTTGGTGACTATTTTACAATATTGAAACATCTAGTGGCGTTTCTGTAGTGTTGAGAGACAACTTAATTCCTTTGTAATTTTTGCTAAATTTCAGGGGTAATTTTTCTTGCAATTAACCTGTGAAATTATCTTCTGGTGCTTACGTTGACTGTTTTATCTCCCCTGGCAGAGGGTTCACTTCCCGCAGCCTGCAAATTTCTGTTTGAGGAAGTTACGTCATCTTCAATCGTCGTATTATTGATCGAATTATCAAATTCGTCTCCCGACAGCATCAAGGGCTTCAAACTCTGGTACTGCAAATCAAAGGACGAGAACTACCCAAAAGAACCTGCCTCAATCTTACCCTGGAACCAGAGAAGAATCTGGATATCTAACCTGCAGCCCTGCACGGAGTATTCCATCCGCATAGTCTCCTACACAGAATCCGGCGACTATGGGCACTCGGAGGTCAAGCTCTTCACAAAAAGTATCGAAATCATTCACAAAGATTCCAGAAATGACGTAAATGCCCCTGGCCCCAGCGTTGCCCAGACGGACGTGGAATCTGACTTGGGGTTCAAAGTCCGGGACCTTGGACGAATACTTCAGCTTGCCTTAGCTCGGGAGCCGTGCTCCTGCAGGTCGAATGACCGAAATACCCTTGGGCCCCACGACGATGCCAAAACAGAGGCTCGGGTGAAAAATTCTTCCTCCGTGTCCCGCCAGCTGGACCTGAATGTGTCCTCCGTACCCGACCTAAACGAGGAGTTCACGCCACCCGTGGAATCTGAGGCAGACGACGATGCCTTGTCACACGAAATCCATAGGAAGCACGAGGAGGTGCCAGCTGTCGACTCGGGATTGCCCGGTTCTGGAAAGAGGAAGCACGGTTTGGCCAACAATGGAGAGATTCATGACTCGGATAGCACCATGAGTAACGACTCGGGCAGCCTGGACGAGAACTTCGAGGACTGCGTGAAGATCATACGGTGGATGGAGTGCGAGGGGTATATCGGGAAGGATTTTAGGCTGAAACTGCTGACGTGGTTCAGTCTGAGATCGACCGAGCAAGAACGGAGGGTGATCAACACGTTTATACAGACGCTGATTGACGACCCCAAGAGCTTGGCTGGCCAGCTGGTCGACTCGTTCTCGGATATCGTGTCCAGCAAGAGGCCGCGTAATGGTTTCTGTAGTGAGTTTCAGCATTAAATTTTTTTTTTTTTTAAAAAAAAGATTATTGTCTATTTGTCCTTGGTTATATTATATACGCATTTTGCTGATGTTGTTTGGTGTTTGATTGTTGTTTACAGGCACTGTTTCATAAAAATGTCTCTTGAGCGGTGAAGTGATTCAATTGTGGGGATAGTTGTTCCTGACGGGTTTTCGCTAGGTCAGTGATAACTTTTTTTTTTTACTGGGCGAGGGGTTCTCACGCATTGTGGGGCCCGGCCCAGCCCGCGCATTTAATTTATTTTGGGGTAGTCGTACCTATATTTATTACTCTCACCTGGGTAGTGAATGTGTGAACTGTAGGCTCGATTTAACGCTAGAATGAATGGTGGATGTATGCGACTCTTGAGATATTTGGTAACTTATATATAGTTTCTTGTTATCAGTGTTCCGAGATTGTTTGACCTGCATTATTTCTTCCCTTTTTACCCCCTATGAGTTTGCCGTGAAAATTTATGGATTGCTTTGCTTGGATTTTGAGTGTCGCAAACTGTAGAACGCTAAGCTTAGGCAAGAATGCTTTGAGCGTTTGGATTTCGACCGTGAAAGTTAGCTAATTTATTGTTATGCATAACCAGTTCCGTATTAGTTATCACATTATTGAATTAAGTATATTTGACTCCATATATATATGGAGTGCGCACAAAATAAATTATTTAGCTATTAGAATATACTTTAACTATTCTATTTAACTGTGGAGAAAGAAAACAAAAATAAAGAACAAAAACGAAGAGTAAATGCATCAACCATGTAGAAAGAAATTATGCCCGAAAATCAACGTCAATATAAGAGGAGAAAAAAAAAAATTTCATATCACACATAAATCTATATATAGTTAAACTCGACTTAGACCATCTCCAACCGAAAACTTCATACTCAAATTCATTTTGCAGTAACTGTCACATTTTGTAGTAATTCATCTCCAATCGAAAAACCCATTTTCAAACTCAAAAGAATATTCTCGGAATATTCTCTTTCACATCAACTTTTACAACTTTTCAATACTATCCACATATTTGACAACTTTACAAATTAAACCATACTGTTATTTTAAATTCAACTTGGACTTTATATAATAAAATTAATTATAAACCTATAATCATATACATAATAAAATCGGAGAAATTAATATTCATTACAAATTTAAATTGCAAAATTACAACACACAAGATAAAATTAAAAATTAGAACTCACAAGATGAAAAATTAAAAATTACATCACAAAAGATAAAATTAAAAATTATAACGCACAAATAATATTTTTATTTTATATTATTATTGTGAAATATATAAAATTAAATGATAAATATAATAGTATTATACTAAATTTTAATTATATTATTTGAATTTACTATCAATAATTTCTTAATCTCTTCACAAATTTATTTAAACTTCTTTAGAAATCTCCTAGAAATATTTTACAAATACTTTTATAATTTTTTATTCAAATGAATATACTAGAAATATTGTACAAATACTTTCATAATGTTTTAATTAAACCTATTATAGAATGTTCACACCCTATATATAAATGTCTAATTCTATTTGTTTATATTTTATATTTTTTTTACTATTATTTTTATTGTGCCAAGTAATATGAAAACACGTATAAATATAAATTAGAGAAACAAATACATTTCGTAACTAGTTTTTTATTATACATTTATATAAAAAATAACAATTTACATACCAACAAATAATATATATTTTGTTTATTCAAATAAAAAATAACAACATTATATTTACAAAATTAAATATATATATATATATATATATATATTTCTTTCACTAATTTTTACACAAGCCAGTATAACTTAGGCCTTGAAAAAAAAATATAACTTAGGCCAAAATACAAAATCATTTTTTTGGCAAGTCAATTCACAAAAAATTTTACGAGCATTTATGAACAGTAGACGTAAATTTGCGTCTGGAGAGAGTCATTTTTTTTTGGCCAAAAGTCAATTCACAAAAAATTTTACGTTTTTGCATTTATGAACAGTAGAGACGTAAATAAGGTGGAGAGAGAAAGGGAAATACTCATTTTGAGTTTGGCGTGTGGAAAATTGGAGTGTTTCCAATACATTTTTTAGGTTTTTTTGGAATTGGTCTTAGAAATTGATCACTGTTTTGTTTTATTTTATCTTGTCAATAGTTTCAAATACAAATTATCTTGCTCAACTAATAGTAACTTTGAAAGAAATAAACTTGTTCTTCGGCTAAGATTCCTATTAATATTATGTCAAACAGCCTAATAGTGGGTGGATCTATTATACTCTATAAACAAGGATATATAGATATTCATACAATCAAATAAACAAGGATATATAGATATTCATACAATCAAATGTTATATTTCTGTTTAACTTACTTTTTATAATATGACATTTTCTAATAAAAATCATATTTCTGTTTAACTTACTTTTCACGATACGACATTCGATCATAAAAGTATG